GTCTGTCTGTCGTTGCAGCGGGCATGGGGAACCAGGTGGAGAAGCTGACCCATCTGAGCTACAAGGAAGTTCCCACGGCCGACCCGACAGGTATGGACAGAGATGAAGGACCCAGGATCGGGGTCTCCTACATCTTTTCGAACGACGACGATGAGCTGGAGCAGCAGCAGGATTCGGTGCACGACCCGGGGGGTGAGCACCCTGCCCTGCAGCCCTACGATCCCCAGTTACACGAGGTGGAGTGCTCGGTCTATTACCGGGATGAGTGCATTTACCAGAAGAGCTTTTCCGAGGAGGACACGCTGCCGGACGAGGGCGATGAAGGAGGCGGGGGGCATCTGAGCACTTACACCCCGGAGAACCTGCTGAATAGGTGCAAACCGGGTGACCTGGTGGAGTTTGTGTGCCAGGCCCAGTATCCCCACTGGGTGGTCTACGTCGGGGATTTTCAAGTCGTGCCCCTGCATCGGCTGGAGGTGGTGAACAGCTTCCTCACCGACGCGAGCCAGGGCAGACGGGGCCGCATTGCCAACCGGCTGTACCGCTACAAACCCCTCAGCCCGGCCGTGGTGGTGCGCAATGCCCTGGAGCAGGTGGGTTGCAAGGACCGGGACCTGAGCTGGAGAAACTCGGAATGTTTCGCTGCCTGGTGCCGGTTCGGCAAGCGAGAGTTTAAAATCGGCGGGGAGCTGCGCATCGGCAAGCAGCCCTACCGATTGCAGATCCGGCTGGGTGACAAGCGCAGCCACACGCTGGAGTTTCAGAGCCTGGAGGATCTGATTATGGAGAAGAGGAGAAATGACCAGATTGGTAGGGCTGCTGTGATCCAGGAGCTCTCCAGCCACCTGCAGGCTGCAGAGGAGGATGAAGAGGAGGAGGAAGACCATCATCATCATCCAGGTGCTCGGACTGCTGTGGAGTAGCAGCCTCAGCACCACCGTGCTGCTTAGCCTGGGTGATGGGGATTAAAACTGAAGGCTGAGAAATTGAGCTGTTATAAGCCCTTTGGGCCGCTTCGGTGCAGCTTCATTCCAATCACATGTGAAAGGAAGGGGGAAAGCTGATTAAGTGTCTGTGCTTTTGTGCTTAACTCCTTCAGTGCTTGATGATAAAACCACTGACTTATTTGTAGAGGATAAAACTCAGGGCAATTCTAAAAAAAACCTCTTCCCCTTCGCCTCTGCCATCTTTGTGCATAGCCTTTCCCTCAACTATCTGCCAGTAGGCTTGACCCTACAAGATGCTAAATGCCTTTGACATCTACTTAGCAGCAGAAGTTAAGAGTATGTAATACAATTAAGGAGCCAACGTCTTTCAGGACATGACTATGTAGCTCAGAGTGTGATTAGTTGGTAGCTGAGAAGCATGAGGATATTGTTTTCCCTTCTCTGCCTCTGTTTCTCTTCAGTTGTGGCTACTGTTACTATTGCAACAAGCTGCTTGCTTGTCCAGTGCAAGGCTGCGTGGATTGGTAGCCGGCCCTCGGGAAGGTACAAGGGAGAAATCTCCACTAATTTTCATGAAATAGGTTTGATGTGCCTGGTGCCTCCTTACTTGATAGGAACTTGTGGGTGAGCTGGGGGACCTCCTACTTTGCTGTCAGTGCGTGGCTTTGAGGATGGACGATGTATTTATTGTTGACAGCTCCCAGGGGAGGAGGAAGTTTGCAACCCTAAGTAAGGAGTCGGCACACTGGTGTGTGCTGGGACTCTTGGAGGCAGATACCGAGCTACGCCAGTGCTCGTTACAGGCTGCCTGGCTTCCCCTAGAGCAAATGGTAAAGCTCCCGGTTACATCTGTAGTACACATCAAGGCAGCAGAAGCAGGTTGCTCATGTGAAAGAGTATGTCTTGAGTAAGCTGTCCCTGGAGAGGGTGGGTTCTTGGCTGGGTGCTTCTGGCCACGAGCATGTCACAGGTTCCGCACCTCAGTAAGCACAGCTGTGATGGGAGGGAGCACAGGCTGGAAGGCATCACAGGCAGGGGCTTTTGGGTGTTCCTTTTTTCCTTCCTTCCTTCCCGCAAAGCAATTTCCTCTTCATGAGAGATTTCACCTTTCCTTTTTTTCTATTTTTTATGGTATGCAGCTGAGCTATAGCATTAGAGAAAAGCAGAGGACATACCTCCAAAGTTGTTGCACAAGTCCCTCATTAAATGAGAGAGGAGGAGTGCGGTGCTGCCTGCCTTGAATATTCACTGAACTTGTTGTCAGCTCTTGAACTGGTCTCCCACGCAGGCAGCCCCGACAGATCTTTGTCCTGGGATCTGAAGTGTGTGAGCAAACACTGATTTGGAGGCAGTTTCTAAGGCAGAATTCCTTCCCCTGAAAGCACAGTAGTGGTGAGGTGAGCTTGGAAGATAAGCTCGAGTTCATTTAAATAATGGAAGCTAACAGTGTGATGTAAACTTGAAGCATAGTTAATACCGTCTTCCCTGCAGCTGTTTACAGTTGTACCACAAATAGCAAAGTACTCCATGTCCTTTCTGCCCCTGAGACAGGAGCAAAGTTTGTTGTTTAAGAATAGGTAGATACCATCTTTTGATTAGTTAAGACTACATGAAGCAGCTCTGACAATGGGATCCAAATAGACTGTGGTGCTGTGTTTTCTGCGTAAAATACACCAGCTAGGAAAAAGCTGTGAAAGACTACTTCATCCTGACTTCAGGAGGAAAAATAACTTTTAGGGTTATGCAAATACACCATATACTGCTTCCTTAATGACTCCCATGCTCTCGTTTTGGGCTGTGAAATACCCAAATCCAAAGGAGAGTTTAACACCAAGCTCCCTTAGAATGCTGTAGCTCAGGTGTCTGCATGAAGTTTCTTTCCTTTTTTTCTCCAATATGCAATTGAGTTATACTCGAGTTACTGTGGTTGCCAAGCAGATGTGCAGCCTTGCTTTGAGAGCAGAATAACTACGCGTATCTAGCTGTAATAGGGTTGATATCTGGATGTCTGCATACAAGTTTTATACGACTACTAGTAATCGCTAAAAGCTGAAATGATCGCTGAAACAGTCTGAAAAAGAGTGAAGGAGAATCTCTCTGTTTTACTGACTAATGTGAGAATACTAAGATTAGACAATGAGTAAATGTCTGGCTGTGGTTTCTTTCATACTGAAACCTTCTACACTGTGTAATATAGGTATGTAAAATAATATTTTCTTACAGATATTTTTGAAAGTTAAAAAAAAAATCCCCTCATAACCTCGCATTTGAAAGTAAGTTGTTATGCACATTATTTTCCAGTCCTCTGAATGGGTTTATTTTTCATTAGTGATCTAAAGTATATTCTAGGTCATAAAGTATAGAAACTGCTATAAATGTCAAATACTATGTATCTACAGGGTACTAAACAGTAATCTAGTTGTGAAAATATTTTTCCCTTGTGTCTGAAACATCAGAACTATGACACCTGGTCATTTCTCTCCTTCTGAGATACCCTGCACAGTCTGCCTTTGTTTTCTGTTCTTTTTTTCCTCCACTTTTTATTTAATAAAGAAGGACCAAATCTGCTTGGGAATGGAGAGCAAAGCTTCTTTGACCAACTGAAATAGTGTCTTCTGCTGAGTGTGGTGCTTCTCTGTACTGGTCGTGCCTTTTGGGATGGGTTCCCACACAGGCACAGGGCCTTAGCAAATAATCCCAGAGCCTGCCCTGCCTTGCTAGGGTGGAGAGCGATGGGGGGAGCTTGCCTCTCAGTGCCTGGCATGCGTTCTGCTGGGTTATAAAACCCGTATGCTCCCCTGACACCTGGGATACAGGTGTTCAGTATTTAAAACGTAGATATTTGGAATCTTTAAATTTCTCTGCAAGCTATGTCTGGGGATTTACTTTGTCTCCTGGCATTCCATTAGGTGTAAAAGTAGAAGAGGGGGGGAGCCTGGAGGGGCTTTTTTGTTTAGTCTGGATGAGGGCTACCTCCATACAGGGATTTCTTATTCCAGCAGATACAACTGTTGAATTTTTAACAGGCGGGTCCTTTTTCCCTACCTGTTGATTAGGCAGTGTTACTTAATAGGTGCTACTAAACACCACTGCAAACATTTCTTAGCAGTCTGGTTTTAAAGCCACGGACCCGTAATGAGCTGGATGTGAGAACAGGAGTTGCTGTAGAAGCACATCACAACTGCTTAGCTTCTTGTCTTTGCTGTACGTTACTCAGTTACTATCTGCAGACTGGGCTGGGATTTCTAGAGCCTGATTTACCAAAAAAAAAAAAATCTCCCAGGAAAACAGACTTTTTTGTGTATGTGTCTACTTCAAGATTTCTGTGCAGATGACAAAAGAGAGGGAAAAAAATAGATAAAAGTGCTCTTCACTGCAGCTTCTTTAACATACAGAAATTCAGGTGGGATCCTTCTGTAGAACTTCTGGTTTAGCAAAGGTCCTAAACCTATACTGAAGTTTGAAGTTGTGAGTCGATCCTACCTTGAGCCCCTTGAAAATCAGTGAGACTATTCATGTGCTTGAAGCTAAGTGTATATTTACATTTCTTTGTGCGTAAGGGCCTAGAGTTTCAACAGGAGGTCTCTGGTGGGAGCATGGAGGTTCTGAGGTTGCATAATCTCTGGGGGAGAACAAGCAATGCTGTGAGAGCTGTTTCTCAAAGGGCTTCTTGTCCAAACAAGGCTTGCAGCATCCAGCCCAAACTTTGGCCTCAGTTTCCCCCTGGAAATCCACGAGCTGCACTGATTCGGTGAGAGGGGTGTACTGCAGAGTAGTTGTAAGCGAAGCTGCTGGTTGTGCTGCAGACTGTTGTCTGGTATCTTTGTCTTGTCATGCTTGATTTTTCACTTGTGTTTTTAACATTTTAAGTTGATATCATTTGTTTTAAAAGCCCTTTGATTGTGCAAACAGTCACGTGTATGAATTTACTCATTTGGGCATGCCTGCTGCTACTGATGGGATGACTGCTGTGAACAGCATTATGCACATGTTGAGGCTGGCAAGATTAAGCCCCAGATGTGTAAATGTAGCTCCAGCTAGGAAATGTAGATGAGCAGTCTTATTTCCCTGGAGTATTGGTGTGTTTGATGCAAATAATGCCTTGGAAAGGGCTTTATAGTAAAACCTACAATTATCCCTTGATTGAGTGATTTTAAAAACACAATTTAGACATTCACCTTCCATGGCAGTGAACAAGGACATAAACTGAAGACTATTGCAAGTTATCCACGATTCTGCGTGACTGCAAAGTATTGATTACAGCAACTCTCTAGAGCTCATCTGGCCAACATAGTAGGCAGTTGCAAGGTAGGCAGGGAATATACCCAAAAGCTAATTCAAAACCTGTATTTTCGTATTGGAAAAATATATTCTTCAGACTGAAGGACCCTAGACTATGAGAGTAAACTTTCAATTGTTTTCTGTAAATGAAACCCTAGGCAAACTTCTTAAGTTCTGTTCATTTAAATTGAATATTCCACTCTCAGTACTAGAATAAGTAATATTGTGTGATGAATATAATTCAGATTTTCAATGTTAACAGTGGTTTTCTTTTTGTCTTCTCCTTTGGTTAAATTTTACCAAAGGTCTGTCCCTGGGTGTGTGAAGTGTGTTGTAGAGTGGTTTTCCACCTGTGCTTTTCTGACAATTAACAGCACCAACCATAATTCTAACAGCCATGTAGGAACAAATATTTTTTTGAAAATGAAATTTTAATTTTTTATAACAGATCAGAGATTAGTAACTAAGTAGAGGTAGGAAATACATTGTTTCCAACAGCAGTTTCTATTTGTAAGAAATCTACTGTTAATTGAGTATGTGTTGACTACTCTTATAAATCAATGTGCAGTGATAAGGCCAGGTGTATTGTATAATGGGCTTAGACTTACAGATTAGAATTTTTTTTTTAACTGTGGACAGGAAGAAATCAGGATGACTTCAAACACTGGTGGTTTAGATGGTTCTTTTGCATTAAT